TTCTGATCATTTAGAACCTTTATTCTTGGTCTCAGCGTTTCAGTATACTTTAAGAAATGTCAGAGAGCGTGACTGCATGATTGTTCACGAATATCCTCGCTACGGCCCATCCTATGAACAAACGAAGAAATGCACACCTAAACTAGGCCTATCGTAGTATCGACTCGATCCGTTCCTAGGCTGACATTGACCGTCTCCAGCAATCTATGAATTTACCTTTGTGTCTGTTTGACGCATCTTTAATCACCTTTCAATGATCGGCCAGTTGATCAATGATGACTAACACATGTAACCGCCACAGGTTCATTAACAACTTCGGAAATCTCTCCCGTCACGTTTAAAGGGGAAGTGTACACGCAAAAATCACTTTCTTTCTTTTTCTAAACAAAACGCAATTTTAGAATTAGTTAGTATCTGTGTTTGAAAATATACACTCATTTTTTTCACAGTGAAAGTAGGAAGCTCACAATAGTGTTAAAATGATATGCCGTTATGAGGCCTTCGTTTTACGAGCGAAATAGGCCTGAGTTATCCCCCTTAGATTATGACGTAATTGGTGCCAATTCAACTGGGTCCCTGTCTATTCTCAACGCAAAAGATATCAAGGACCAGTTTGCGGTAAAACAACATGGTCTACGACACACTCCGGCGCAATGGTGACTCAGCATAACACAATTCTGGCTGGCATCTGAGATGCTAGAATCACAAAACTGTACCTACACCACGTGAAGCGGCTCTAACAAAGCATGATGACGTCATAATGTTTATCAATTGGCACCAATGACGTCATATTGCAAGGGGCATAAGCCATGGTGTTTTTGTTATGGAAATAGAACACTTGGTAAATGTGAAAAATATAAATCGTTTTAATGCAAAAAATATGTTAATTAAATATGATGTTTTTATATTTTTGTCTATGACACTTCTATGTTAACACTTTTAATGTGGAAAAAGTACAAGAAAAATTGGTTCATTTCCGTGTGAACTTGCCCTTTAACGTGTCGGCCATTTTGACGTCTTGTACTTGATGTAAATGTATTACGACGCGCTGTCATTGTGACTGACTTACTGAGGTAGTTCTTTACAGACCTTTCTCATCTAATGGGGATATGATATAAACACATGTGCTGCGTAAGATGTTTCTGAAGAGCAAGTTGTGCATCCATACGCGCATGTCGCCTCTCTTTTTGAGGAACTATTTTACTCCGCGATACAGTTGTTGTATGGCTGTCAGTGTAAACATGAAGTCACACGTACTAAATAAAATTGTGTTTAGATCTTGGCCTTCATCCTTTGAGGTAAGAAATTGTGATACAAAATTTATAAGAAGCTCCGACGTTCATACAGTTTGGCCCTCACTCTATGAAGGTTCATACTCCAATGAACTCACACAAAGTGAAGGTCAATTCTTAAGTGAAGAACTGAGCGGGGAAAAAAGTGTTCACCCAGAGCGTGGAGGAGATATGCTTAAGGGAAGTAACTCGTCGTGTATTGTTGACTGAGCATTGTTGTTTAGTGGCAGGGTGCCCACAAAGGAAGCGCCACAGCTTGTCATCTATCTTCTGTCGCAATCCGCCATAGACCTGAAAGTAATGGACTTGACCATGGCTTGTCTGTTGTTCGGCCGTTTGTCTGTTTGAAATGTCACCTGTGACAATTGAAGTTTTTTGTCCAAAGAGTTCTCATGATTAGTTGGATGTTGATAGTTACCTGAACTTGGGCCATCAAGTAGTGGTAGTGGTAGTGGAAGTAGTAGTAGTAGTAGTAGTAGTAGTAGTAGTAGTAGTAGTAGTAGCAGTGGAAGTAGTAGTAATAGTTGTAGAAGTAGCAGTAGTAGTAGTAGTAGTAGTAGTAGTAGCAGTGGAAGTAGTAGTAATAGTTGTAGAAGTAGCAGCAGCAGCAGCAGCAGCAGTAGTAGCAGTAGTAGTAGTAGTAGTAGTAGTAGTAGTAGTAGTAGTAGTAGTTGTAGTAGTATTATAACAGGTACTAATATAGCGGAGGCGGTCAGTAGTACAAGAAGTAGTAATAATTGTAGTAGAAGTAGAAGAATAGTAGTAGTAATAGCAGTGGTTGGAGTAGTAGTAGTAGTAGTAGCAGTGGTTGTAGTAGTAGTAGTAGTAGTAGTAGTAGTAGTAGCAGTAGTAGAAGAAGAAGATCCGGTGTAGAATAGGTCTTCAGCAACCCAGGCTTGCCGTAAAAGGCCACAATGCTTGTCGTAAGAGGCGACTAACGGGATCGGGTGGTCAGGCTCGCTGACCTGGTTGATGCATGTCATCGATCTCAAGTGCGTGGATCTATGCTCCATTGCTGGTCCAGACTCGATTATTTACAGACCACCGTCATATAGCTTGAATATTGAGTGCGGCGTTAAACAACAAACCCACCACCTCCACTAATTCGGCAGGGATCCACGCTCGTGGATGTACCCTCAAAATCGTAGCTATATTCTGCCCCGACACACCCATTCGTCGGTTGTGTGTGTGCGTGCGTGCGTGCGTGCGTGCGTGCGTGCGTGCGTGCGTCTCTGTGTGTGTGCGTCTGTGTGTATTCGTGTGTGTGTGTGCGCGCGCGTCTCTGTGTGCGTGCGTGCGTCTCTCTATGTGTGGATGTGTTTGTGTGTGCGCGTCTGTGTATGTATTCGTGTGTGTGTGTGCGTGCAGGTGCGTATCTGTGTGTGTGGATGTGTTTGTGTGTGTGTGTTTATGTTTGTGTGTGGATGTGTGTGAGTGTGTGTGCGTGCGTGCGTGCGTGTGCGTATGCGATCCGTGTGGGCATCGCGTATAACGACAACTTGATGTCCGATAGTACTTCGACATCCACTGGTATGTGACATATGTAATGTTTTTGTGCGATAGTGCGTGCGTACGTGCGTCTGCGTGTGATGTCCGATAGTAAAGCCGAACAGTACCTAACGACATTGATATCGTCATGGTGTTGTCGGTATCAGTAAACTGACAGCATCTAGTCAGTAACAGCCCTAGCGAAGGCAGTATACATTGCTTAATGAAGTCAACCGACCTGCGTGCCGAACCGTCACCACGTAGGGAAAACAATCCCTGTCAAGCCAGTACACCTACCACTGAGCACACACCTGCCCTACAACCTCTACCAGTGTTGACAAGCGTCCTTATACGACCGGCCGCCTTGTACCCACGCACATCAAACCTGCTCACACGGCAATTTCGCCCCCTTATTTACATGACACACAAAAAATGCAACTACGTTTCTTCTCAGGCTAATAATTTTTTAAATCCTTGAAAGGAAATCTGTTGTTAATGGTGGTGCTTGCAGTACCCCTATTGACACTTTCTGTACAGGTGTTCGTAATTCATATTGATGTGCGTGATGTCGAAGTACCGTAGCTACTCTTTTAAGCTTCTTCGTCGAAATTTTATTATTATATTTTTTGAAATAAATTAAAAGACTAATTCGAATCACGATCAGTTTATCCACATGGTAAATAAAGATGGTCTATTTGTATATATGTTCACGATGTTAATCGTAGTATCTAAACAAGCAAATACCGCCGAACCCCGTTATCTTGAGCCTAGCGGAATATCGAGATATCTTCGAGATATCCGGACATTCGAGATAACAAGAAAAGGACATCCAGACAGATCAAGTAACAGGTATTACAGATCCATAGCAATACGATTGCATATGCGATATACTAATATATGTGAATGTGGCTTTTCAATAACCATCCTCGCTTATCTACTGAATAATATCTATTCTATAATGATATAGAATTGAAATAATATACACTGGAATAGCGAGGATGTGTAGTACCATATATTTTATCAAGGAAATATGTTCATATGTGTCTTATGGAAAATCGACTAATTAGAATATAATATCTTATATTCCTGTTTCTCATTAATCGTTGAGTAATTAGGATTATTTTAAGCCCTGCAATTTGTAATAGTGTTTATGAATTAAAAAGTATAGAAATCATGAATTACACATTCAATTTGGTTTAATAAAACTAATCTCATTGAATGTGTAATCAGGATTTCTGATGTTTATACCTATGACAGTCCCTGGAGCATGCTATTTTCCCTTCCGCGGAGCCCTTACTGCATGGTAGGCTATAGCCCCAAATGAAGCAAGACTAGATTTTCCAGTGAAACTCACATCTCACTGGAGCTCCTATTCAATTTATATGTAGTTGCTTGTTGTTTATCAAAATGTGATACTTCAGAGACTCAGCGTTAGTCTACAACAGGATGTTAAACAAAACAGGATCTCAATGGCATGTCAGGTGTTGACTGCATTTTTATTCATCGCAATCAACAAAATTCCATCTCATCCCAAAAAGAGCCAGATGTTGCTCCTATTCAATGATAATACTATAATATCACTAGTTTGAAACGTCTTTGGATTCCCACGGTGTATGTATATCATTGTGTTCTATCAGGGTGGCCACAGGTACACCCCGGGGTGCCGGAGAATGACCTAACAAGCGCGAAAGGAATTTCTTAATGACCTGTGACAAATCTACTATGACGATATGAGACTAAAGAGTAAATATCTACATCACTGAGAAGGTCAAATAATGTCTCGCAACAGGTCATCATCGCGGTGTTGTGCAACAGTTGAGTAAGGTCACCCCATAGTGGCCCATTAGTGTAGAATTAATTCCACAGTACAGAGCGTGAGTCCTGTCTTGCATTGTATACAGACAACCAGCGACTACAATAGCTGGTTCTTATACAATAATAACACCCCGTTGTCCAACTGTTATTAACCACAGACAATCATTGGCTAGCTAGCCAGCCAGTCTTATACAATGATCACACACCCGTTGTCCAACTGTAATTAGCCATAGACAATCATTGGCTAGCTATCTAGCCAGTCTTATACAATAATCACACACCCGTTGTAAAACTGTAATTAACAACAGACAATCATTTGATAGCTTTCCAGCCAGTCTTAAATTCGATCTTAGAAATACAACCATGACATACATAGGATGAAATACGGTAAGGGCGATTCGCAGCCTTACGCCGAAAAGCGTCCACAACAATACACGGCATTTCTGTTGATGGGGAAAACCAGCATGGTGTGATCTGCCAACTGCTGCATAAAAACGAATATCCTTCAGCCTCAATGTGTGGACCTCGATTTAACACGTTCAGCGAGGACAGTGAGCGTCATTTGTTGGTTGTCGTCTGCTCGAGTCGTGCAGGAAGACGCGAGCTGGGGCTGCTGATCGGCTAGCAGACGACACAGCAGCCATGGCGAACGTCGGTATACCCTTGCTGGCGCTGGAGCCAATGTCCTACTGTCGTGTGAAACAATATTACATATGGAAAAGGGAAAACGGAAAGGTATGTCCATTTTAATGTTTACATTCACAACGAGTCGCTTACCAGCTCAGTGACCTGCTTTCTTAATGCTTGGAGCTATCAATGTCAGTTGCCGATATTCAGTCACAGGTGGTGTGGTAATAACGCTCTAGTAGGACCCCTGGTGAATATCAATGCCTCCGCGCTTAAAATGGTGTACGTAATTAATGTCGTCTGTTAACTTTCTGAATGGACAACTTAAAACGTTAACAGCATAGTCCGTGTTATTGTCAGCATCTGATGGCACAATCAACAGCCTGGATTGGGTCACGGGGTACAATGTCACCGGCTCGAGGACCATATCCACGTTTTATATTTATGCGTATTAAAACCTGTTCTTCTTGTTTTGCGTTTATTTAAATCATTGCATAAGGGTGCAGTTTAGCTAGAGTGGAATGGATGCAGAATACAAAGTATCGTTCAGTTTCATGTCCATTCATTCCGTCTCCACTCCCACGTGTCATAATGGGAGTTATGTAAACATGGTTAAATGATGAAATCATTTACTTGTATATTTATGTATATATATATACTAGTGAAAATCACACTCGTGAAACCGGATGAGTAAATTATACAGCTCATTTTTGGACTTTTGTAATTTACACACACACACGCACGCACGCACGCACGCACGCACGCACTCCTCAACATGCTTAAATTCTATGAATGCCTTGATTATGGGGATGTGATGTTTACGTTGTGCTTAGGCTGTGAGAAGAGAGCTCATTTCCTATGTTTAGACAGAAAACACCAAATGCGTATTCCGTTTAAGATTTAAACCCATCCCTAAACATACAACATATCTTGTATGTGGTTACAATCTAAACACATTTTTACAATATATATATATATCCCAGTTTCAGTTCGTAAATAACATTTGTTTGCCGTAAAATCCCTGTGCATGTTTCAAATTTAGTCGAGTGTATTATGTTGTAATCATAGCAACGTCTCATAATAATTACATAATACGTTTCTCTTGTAGTTGCTCGTATTTAAATTCAACAGCTCATTTGAGTAAATGAGTATGACGATGTTTAATGGCAATAGATGACACCGTTCTTAAAAAAAAACCCCACCCCATTACGTGTATACTGTATATCAGTATTGCAGTACCCACGACATATTTGACATGGTTGTAACTAATCGTGCTACCGCCCAAGCTTGCAACATGGGAATACAGTAAACTACGGTTATAACGAACTCGAAGGGACCACTAACTTTAGTTTGTTATAACCGTAGTTCGTTATAAGCATATATACAACATAACTATAGCAAATAGTCGGGACAATAAAATCAGTTCGTTATAAGCGTGTTCGTTATAAACGTACTTTACTGTACATATAATTGGAAGGTCCAACCTCTGTGTATATAGAAACACACAAAGATTCCCACTCACAACACTGCCTGATGAAATGTACATAATAATTATAATGTCACCCCCAGTGCCTTCTTTCTCCTACCGTCATAAACCAAACTATATGTCGTCACCCGATACATTGTCTTGTCCACTGTAGGTCAATATACCACACCAACTAGTTGTCCCCAATTATGTGCGTATGTTTGGGCAAGTTAAGGTTGCAAAGTAAGGGATCCGCCCAAGTCGTATGTTGCAAGTACTTGTCAAACATGAACGGAGGTCAGGTGTGGTTACAATGTCTCGCTAGTTGTAGCCTGTCACAAATCTAACTGTGATTGTTAAGTTGTTATTGCGAGGGGTTATGCGTTGCTGAATTGACAATGCTTATTGAAAGAAGGTTAAGAGATCATGGCTTACATATAACTAGGTTAAGCCTTGTCAATATAGCCCGGAGTGATATGTGAACCCGATATATAACCGTTGTTTCGTATGAGACAAGTCGATTTAACAGTACAGGGGAATCGTTCACTGTACATTTACTCGATACAGTAAACTACGGTTATAACGAACACGCTTGTAACGGACTGACGGATATAACGAACTTTTTTTTATCCCGACTATTTGCTGTAGTAATGCTTATATGCTTATAACGAACTACGGTTATTACGAACTAAAATTAGTAGTCACTTTGAGTTCGTTATAACCGTAGTTTACTGTATATGGTTTAGGCTGATGGACATTTGAGGTACTGATACAAACAGATCAATTTTGCGCACTGTATCGAATTACGGCTGTCCGTTTTTCTGGAAATACTCGATATGTTTTCAAGTAGGGTAGCCGAGTGGTTAAATCGTTCTCTCATCACGCCGAAGACCGGGTTCGAATCAACTAACTATAAAAGTCCAGTTTCCACCCTTGCCGAACTAGGCTGGAATTATGGAGTTATATTTTGGCTGGACTAAAGAGCCTATGCATAGTCCAATCAAAATCACGTAACGAAATCGAAATCCGGTTCGTAAACTGCCGAGCAGATTTCGGTCGATTGCAGAATTTGCAAAGCATGTGCACCGCCAACAGATATTTTCCCAATCCTTTCATGTTTTTAATCAAGGTGCTTACGTGATTTGATGCAATTCGCGAAATAAGACCCGTTTTATCACAATATAGTTTTTGATCGTGGGTTCGAATCTCTGGTCGCCCCGATTATGTTTCTAGGTTTGTCAGCACCATACCCGTGCTCGTGGGTTTCATCAAACTGGTACACGTCTGAGACCAACATCATGATCAAAGCTTTCCTTCCTTGTTAAGCTGACTCGCCGTGATATAACTGGAATATTGTTCATAGCGGCGTTAACCCCAAGACACTCACTCATATTGAATCAATATCAAACACATTCAAACTGAATGCAATTAACCCGGTGCTGTGGAACGCTGCTGAAAAGGACATTCCAAGTGATGAATACATTGCGCTATCCGAACCGTCAATCACCACCAGATTGACGACGTGTCCCATACCGTAAGCAGTTATCAATAACGTGCGTGATATGTTAGTTTCCAGTCAACAGTAAACACAGAGAGATTTCCAATACCGTTAACGACGTGCCGGCCATCTGGCGTGCTGGTCGTATCTTTTGATCTTCCGCTTGATCAGTTTATATAACTTGTCACGTTAAGGATAGAATGCTTAGTTATGTTTCCAAGTCACTTAAAATTAATATGTAGTATTTAATCAGAAATATGTCCGAATAAACATGTCAATAAATATATAAGGACTACTTCGTGGTCTGTCCTCCATTTCTGTATAGAATTAACGCTGTGATTATATAGTACAACACCCTTGGAGATACCTGGTTAGAGTTGGTCCCAGCAACCAATGCTGGTCGTTAAAGGCGACAATGGATCGGGTGGTCTGACTCCCTGTCTTGGCTTATTGCGTCATTGTACCCCAAAGGTGTGGATCGTCTGGTCCAGGGTCCATTATTAAAAGATCGCCGTCATACATCTGGAATATTGCTGAGTGCGGCGTTTACCATATCTGAAACTAAGACATTGTCTCTGTGTAATTGGGCGGTGGGGTAGCCTAGTGGTTAAAGCGTTCGCTCGTAACACCGAAGACCCGGGTCCGAATCCCCACATGGGTGCAAAATGTGAAGCCCATTTCTGGTGTTCCCGCCGTGATATTGCTGGAATATTGCTTAAAGTGCGTAATATCATAATACTCACTGACTGACTGTGTAATTGTGTAACCATTAACTGCAAGACTTGCTTGACAGTGGTATAAGGTTCTGTACCGAAACGTCGCCTTTACAGTAAATAAAGAAGTTGTTTCTGTCTTTACTTTGTCATCCGTAAACTTATAAGTAATGCCTATCAAACAATTTAAGACTGTTAAAACACAGGCTCTCTTTAAACTGACATACAAAGCAGTGTTTTAATAATTTACACGAAACACGACTACGAATTGGTCAGCGCTTGTTTTCATTTTTTGCTATACAATGTTGTTATTATACCCCGCCCAACGAAGTTAGCGGGGGATAGAAACGGGCTCCGTCCGTCCGTCCCCCCGTCCGTCACGTTTCGTTTCCGGAGCATAACTCAGAAACCGTTCAATATTTTTTCATAAAAATTTGCAGGTCTGTCAAATACATGCTGAACTTGTGCCTTTTTCTGTTTAAAAATTTTAGAAATTTTAATTTTTACGTTTCCATGGCAGCAAGATAGACTTAGGTTCTGTGAGGGTAGGGTTCGTTTCCGGAGCATAACTCAGAAACCGTTCAATATTTTATCATGAAACTTTGCAGGTTTGTCAGGTACATGCTGAACTGGTGCCTTTTGCTATTTAGAAATTTTAGAAATTTATATTTTTTACGTTTCCATGGCAACAAGATGGACATAGGTTAAAAACTCTTCTTTTTTTTTACAATTTCCACCTCGGTTAAAAAAGGTTAGGGTTTGTTTAGATTTAATTATGTAATAAATTCTGCAACAGGGGCGGGGGATATAGCCACGCTAGTGGCAGATATTTTGTTTGTATTTATGTCACAATCAAAGGGGTTAATATCGTGTGAGTATTTCTGCTGCGTAAGCAAGTTTGTAAATTCACACGTCTGAACTTTCACCTTCGTTATAAGCTTATAAATGCAAGGTCACATGAGTCTGCCATTCAAGTTTTTAAACCATAGATTCAACGTTTGTCGATATATAACCAAGCACTAGCTCTATAAATCAGTGAAGGGGATGCTGTCATGAAGATATTCTTCTGTTTACAAACGTAACCTGAATGAGGCTTTCACTGACGGCTGATATCTGCCCCGAGATATACAGACTTGCAGGTCATGCTCCACTGAGAAAAGTAAATTATGTCCGCTAAAAGCCGCTCATTGGCTGCCACCCCTGGCTGATTGCTGTCATTGATGACTCATAGTTGTCGCGCAGAGCTGACTGACGTTTTATCTGTTTCATGTGAGTGACTGGAAAGTATTACCGTATGTAACCCGATAAACGTGTTTATGATTACTAAGATCGTGTTTCACTAGTCTTGTTTGTGGCATGAGTGTAATATTATTCGAAATGGGTGTGAGTTAAATGTGGTCTTGTGAATAACTGAACACACACACACACACAA